TATATATATATTAGGGATGCACCGATACCGATACTGGTATCGGTATCGGGCCCGATACTGGCCTCCTGTACTCGTACTCGTACTCGTTAAAATGCCCCGATACCAAACGCCGATACCACACAGCATGTGATAAGCGCCATATTTAAACAAAGAAACACTGACAACAGACAGCAGAAAGGAGTTATGGATGTCTACTACGAAGTATATGTATGCAATGAATATAATGTTAAACATTCAGTATTAACGCCTGTATAGCTGATGTGTGCGAGCTGATAAACAAAGCACGCTGAGTGGATTGAGCGCGCGGCGGCGCAGATGCGCGAGCTTGTCGAGTGAATATACCTTTCTCACAGACATCATTGGAAAGTTTATAGTTCGGTCGGATATGTCAAAGACAAGTAAGTAAAACAATGCACAAGTTACTTAACGGTAGGGAGAGAGAGAGAGACAGAGAGAGAGCGCGAGAGAGAGCACGCGCGCACTTCTGTTGTGTGATCTTTGATGTTCACTCACTGAGCACACGCATCATTTGAATTAAAACGAAATCGTACAAATAAAACCATTCATAGGGGCATCATTTATTTTCAACCTTAGGCATACACGACTTTCTAGCGAAAGTGAATCTAGCAGCCTGTGTGAAATGCGCTAGACTGTACTATTCTGCATCAGTACAAACACGTGCAGGCGTTGCGCGTGTTTTGCTTGCTTGAGTGTTTCTGCATTATATGAGTGGCTTTGGAATATAAATCGCAGCACGTTTCAGATGAAAAAACGCGACTTCTATTTCTGAAAATATCACAGTTAGGAGATTTATAACGAGTGGTTCCCTGCATTATTACAGCAAAGCGCGTGATTACAGTACTGAGCCGCTGCATAATGCTATTAAATTTAAGATGATGTACCATAGAGCAAAAAATGAACAGTGAAAGTAACAAAAACTTGTAAAATACATTTTAATGGGCATAATTAAGTGTGAAAATAACCGAAGGATATACAGTGAAACCAAAAATGATTCAGAGACCAGATATAATTTTTGATATTTTTTTACTAGTGGGTGCAGGACACTATAGTTAATTTATGTAAGTGAGGATTGCAAAATTAAAGTAAACTGTGACAAATTATACCCAAAAATTCTTCATACGGTGGACTACCAGTAAAATTGATACAAATTTGGGTCCAAAAATTATTCAGACCGAGTCTGGGAAAAAACATTGAAGTTGAGGTTTTCATGAAGCTGGGTGACAGCATGCCCAGGAGACTACAGGCTGTCATTGAGGCTAAAGGTTGCCCGACTGAGTATTGATAGTTGTGTAAATATTGTCATACTAACAGTTGTCTGAATTATTTTGGTTGATTGTAATCTATTACATACCTTTCTATCAAAGTTATCTAACGTTATCAAGCTGAATTTGTTCTGACACAGTTTAACTCTGAGTTCTTGTGATATTTTATTACCATTTTCTAAACTATAGCGAATAAACTGTGATAATGTGAGAAATGTTGAAGGTGTCTGAATAAATTTTGGTTTGACTGTATCTATTTGATAAATTAAGTTAACCAACTAACATTACACATACTCTTTTGGTTTCTGTACCCAATATTTAAAAAATTTACAAATGCAATAAAAATATTGGTATCGGTACTCGGTATCGGCAAGTACCAAAAATAAAAGTATCGGTATCGGGCGAGTACTGGAAAAAGTGGTATTGGTGCATCCCTAATTATTATTATTATTATTAGTAGTAGTAGTATTTTAAAGCCATATTTATATATAACCACAACATTTTGGTCAAATTGTACAGCCTTACAAACAACCACAGCAAACCTGGATTTCACAAAAAAAAATGGCATTAAATTTTTTTCCCACAAATCGTGCAGCCCTAACCAGAAATATATCCAGAAAGTAAACGAGTTTTATTTGCTAATGCTAAACTGTAAAAACTGTAAAAAAAAAGAAATCAAATAAAACAAAGATTTTTGGCTTAAGTTTTACACAACTTACATTATTCAGTCTTTGTTAAATTCAATGTGTTACTTGTTATTTTCTAGCAGTTCTGATTTTTCTCATGTATGTGTACATGTGTATGTATTATTCAAAGGTGAAGTGTGTATGTGATTTCTGCACCACTAGTGGCATCAACCGGAACTGCAAAATATAATGACTAGCTATGTTGGAAATTGAACACTACCTAAAGGCCTTTCCACACTGAGCGCGAAAAAGCGAAACGAATATTGGACGCGATGACGCACTGGAATAAAACAATAGATTCCTATGGATGCTTCCACATAGACCGCGAACATTCGCGCACCGAAAATGCGACTGTTTTTTTTCCGAACCAGTCCGATGAATCTTTTCAGTTTCGCAAAGTGAAAACAAGGGCCGTACAATAAGATTTGAGCATTACCTCACATGTCCAGAGCAAATGCTGTTACCCAAAAGGTCGACGCGGTGGCGCTAAAAGCTCAGAAGACTGTATTGAGCACGAGCGTAAAAACACCGAATTAGAGGACTTTCAACTAACATACAAAGAATATGGATGTTGAGATGTTGATGTCGTTGGTGTCTGAACATATAGATATATTTATATTTATATTCATACAATATATTTTCTGCATATGTTTTTATGCAGCTCATGGTATTTTTTATAACAATAAAGGATGTTTATGACAAATGACAAGCAGGTAGCGTTCAGTCCATTATAACATACAAAGAGTGCATGTCTGCCTAATATAGAATCATAATCCATTTTAGATCACAATCAGAAGTTATTACAAGCACTCGATGATGGTTTAAAGTGGGGTTTGAGCAAAAACATTAATTACATACATTTTAAAATGTAGCTTGATGCTAATTGAACCTCTAATTATATTTTCTTGTAAGCATTATGGATAGTTTGTGGTTCTGATGAAGAACCAAAAGTTATTTATTTTAATTTAATGCTGTATATTGAGCAGTGGATGATGGTAAAGCCATATACGAGATACATGAAAAATGCATTGCTGGTCGGCGCCACCTAGTGTGCAGGTGTGAATTAGCAAAAGGCGATTAATCGTTTCGCGCTCGGTGTGAAAGCAACGTTCGTCGGTGATTCGCCTCGCTTTTTCGCATCGCGCTCAGTGTGAAACGGCCTTTACTGTATTCTGATCACTGTACACATTGAATGTTTCAGTATACTGTATGATGCCTTCTACTTTAAGAAACAGCATGTGAAATAGTACACATTATGCAACGTTTCAAACACTAGCATGCAGCACTGTTGTCCCACGACCTCACTACACTGCATGTTTAATTCACAGAGTTCACTAGTTATCATCAAGGTGTTGGTAACGCACAGAAAAGGTTTATGAATTCCACTTTTCTAGTTTTTCTACTGCTCTCGAGTCTTTTGCATGACACCGAGTTCTAAAAATGCTACGCTCAAGTTAAAAAACGTGTCTCGAGACCTTGCATCTCTAGTGAAGGAACTGATTGGCCAGCATTAAATTCCACACGCTCATGTTGGTTTGGTCTGGTTGTCTCTCTCACCTGCTGCTGACTTTGCTCCTCCATGTTGAGCTTCACCTCCAGCGACTGCCGGGCCTCCAGAAAGGCCTTGCGGTGTTTGCGGTCGGCCATGTAATACGACATGACGCCCACGGTGATGGCACAGAAGTAGATCACAATGTTGGCCAGCAACTGCAAAACACAACAGCACCATCATGACATGACAAACAAGCCTTCCTCACCTAGCGTCTGTTTTTTTAGACTACTATATTTATTTGTAGATATAATTTAGAAAAACACGGTTAATCATCCTGAAAATATGGTAATAATGGAACAACTAAGTAAAATACTTTAATATTTTTAAATCAACACAAAAAAGGCAGTACAATAAATATTACCATTATGTATAAATACTATATTTATTAGTAAATATCATTTAGAAAACATAATTAATCATGAAAATGTCAATAATTAGATATAGATAAATTAAAAATATTTTAATACTTTTAAATCAACACAAAAAGGCAGTACAGTAAAACTACCATTATGTAAAAATGCTATTTGTATATATAATTTAGAAAACATGATAAACAATTATAAAATACAATAATAATTGAATAACTAAATAAATAAAAAATACTGTAATGTTTTGTCAACACAAAAAACGGCATTACAACAAATACTACCATTATGTAAAAATGCTATATTTATTTGCATATGTAATTTAGAAAACATGATTAATCATCATGAAAAAATCGTTTCGCGCTCGGTGTGAAAGCAACGTTCGTCGGTGATTCGCCTCGCTTTTTCGCATCGCGCTCAGTGTGAAACGGCCTTTACTGTATTCTGATCACTGTACACATTGAATGTTTCAGTATACTGTATGATGCCTTCTACTTTAAGAAACAGCATGTGAAATAGTACACATTATGCAACGTTTCAAACACTAGCATGCAGCACTGTTGTCCCACGACCTCACTACACTGCATGTTTAATTCACAGAGTTCACTAGTTATCATCAAGGTGTTGGTAACGCACAGAAAAGGTTTATGAATTCCACTTTTCTAGTTTTTCTACTGCTCTCGAGTCTTTTGCATGACACCGAGTTCTAAAAATGCTACGCTCAAGTTAAAAAACGTGTCTCGAGACCTTGCATCTCTAGTGAAGGAACTGATTGGCCAGCATTAAATTCCACACGCTCATGTTGGTTTGGTCTGGTTGTCTCTCTCACCTGCTGCTGACTTTGCTCCTCCATGTTGAGCTTCACCTCCAGCGACTGCCGGGCCTCCAGAAAGGCCTTGCGGTGTTTGCGGTCGGCCATGTAATACGACATGACGCCCACGGTGATGGCACAGAAGTAGATCACAATGTTGGCCAGCAACTGCAAAACACAACAGCACCATCATGACATGACAAACAAGCCTTCCTCACCTAGCGTCTGTTTTTTTAGACTACTATATTTATTTGTAGATATAATTTAGAAAAACACGGTTAATCATCCTGAAAATATGGTAATAATGGAACAACTAAGTAAAATACTTTAATATTTTTAAATCAACACAAAAAAGGCAGTACAATAAATATTACCATTATGTATAAATACTATATTTATTAGTAAATATCATTTAGAAAACATAATTAATCATGAAAATGTCAATAATTAGATATAGATAAATTAAAAATATTTTAATACTTTTAAATCAACACAAAAAGGCAGTACAGTAAAACTACCATTATGTAAAAATGCTATTTGTATATATAATTTAGAAAACATGATAAACAATTATAAAATACAATAATAATTGAATAACTAAATAAATAAAAAATACTGTAATGTTTTGTCAACACAAAAAACGGCATTACAACAAATACTACCATTATGTAAAAATGCTATATTTATTTGCATATGTAATTTAGAAAACATGATTAATCATCATGAAAAATGGTAATAAATGAATAACTGATTACATTTTTTTTTTAAATGATTTTTTATAATCACCACAAAAAAGATCGTACAACAAATACTGCCATTATGTATAAATACAATATTTATCAGTAGATATAATTTATAATACAAGAATAATCATCATTTAAAATACTGTAATAATTGCAAAACAAATAAATAAAACTACTGTAATACGTTTTTTAAATTAGCACAAAAAGGCACTACTAAAATACTGCCATCACGTATATACAGTGGGTACGGAAAGTATTCAGACCCCCTTAAATTTTTCACTCTTCTGTAATTATTTCATGTAATACTGTAAAAATACTGTAATTAGTCATTGAATAACTTAATAAAAAAATACTGTACTTTTTTTTTTAATCAGCCCAAAAAAGGCAGTGTCACAGTGCAATAAATAAATAAATGATTAAATAAATCGTGATGGTTTTGATTTTGGGGTGAAACAGCCTGAACTAGTTCTTCACAGGTTTCCTGAGATCCACCGCTGTGAACCATTGATCTCCAGGTTCTTGCTCTGAAATGTATTTGAATAAAAGGCTTTCTGTGTTCTGCCTCTCGGGGCTGCAGTTTGTCCCAAAAACAGTCTTGCTGAGTAAGAAGAGGGACACCCACCTGCCGGCCCTTCTGGCCCCGTCACCATCTTATGAATGCAGCGACACAAACGCCACTGAAGCAAATATCAGCTTACTATTTATGATGTATTAGATGAATCTGATTAACTCATGTCCAGTCATATTTCATCCCAAAAACAAAAGATATTATATTATATCAAGAAGACCAGATTTTCTGCATTGTAACATTATTTTCATGACAAATAAGCATATAAATTAAAGTGCCCCTATTATGGATTTTTGAAAATTACCTTTCATGCAGTGTGTAACACAGCTCTAAGTGAATGAAAACATCCTGCAAAGTTTTAAATCTGAAAGTGCACTGTGTATAAAGTTATTGTCTCTCAAAAGAAAGAGTCGACTCTGAATCATTGAAACGAGTCGTTTTTAAAACGAATCCCAAGCCGTTTCATGTTGACATCAACATGAAACATTAGCATATTGCCCGCCCTCTTGTTGGTCTTTTCACATTAGTCTGAATGAAAATGCAAATTCATTCTTTGCCACTAGGTGCTGCTTTAGGAGCCTTAAAATAGCGGTTTCCCCGGTAACGCTGTACACAAAGCAGCACTGCGCTCACAAACGCTGCTTTATCCAATAGTATTATCAGGCATCACAGGCATGATGAAATGAAAATGAGACCAATCTGACCAATCACTGCAGATTATGAATCGTTGAGCGAATCGTTTGGGAGTCGTTGAGCAAGTAAGGAAAAATAAATGCATATTATAAGACAACGAAAGTGTTTTTTGACATTGCATGCATGTCGCTTGAATCTACAAGGCGTTTTAAGATGTATTCCCGTCAAAATGACTAAGACAAGTATAAATTTAATGACACGTATCTTAACAATTTAAGATTTAAATGACTGAGATATATATTAAAGAGAGTCAAATCTTCGTGCAGCCTTTTAACTACAAAGCATGTGCTTGTTTGATGCCAAAAATTGTTGTCATTGAGTCTTTCACGTTCTCAGGTTTTAACACCAGTTGAATCGGACTTTGATCAGAAACCTCAGGAGGAACTGTGAGAAGATATGAACACATCATTTACACCATTAAAAAATAAAGCTTTAAAAAGTGTTTTTTTCTCAGTGATTCCTCTAAGAGGAATCATTTTTGGTTCCTCAAAGCAACTTTCAGTGGTTGGTTCTTAGAAGAACCATGTTTTTCTAAATGGTTCTACATTTTCTAAATGGTGGTAGGTTCTTTATTGGCATCGATGGTTCCATGAAGAAGAACCTTTAACATCCGTGGAATGGTTTAATTCCACAAAAGGTTCTTTTTAGTGGAAAAAAGTTCTTCACACTTAGCAAAACATGGTTCTTTTAAAAACTGCACTCTTAAGAATAAAGGTTCCTTATTGGCATCAATGGATCCACAACCATCCATGGAACCTTTCATTCCACAAAAGGTTCTTTACAGTGGAAAAAATGGTTCTTTTATGAACTGTTCACTGAAAGGTTCTTTGGGGAACCAAAACTGGTTCTTCTATGGCATCGCTCTGAAAACCCCCTTTTGGAACCTTTATTTTTAAGAGTGTGATCACTGAAAGGTTCTTTGGGGAACCAAAAATGGTTCTTTTGGACCTTTTGTGGATTGGAAAGGTTCCATAGAGATTTTAAAGGTTCTTCACGGAACCGTAGATGCCAATAAAGAACCTTATGAACCATCTTCACTCCTCCAAACTGCTGGCATCATTTTTCTTTTTTTTTAATCAAGTCAGAATTTTCTTCACACAAGAACTGACTACTGAAAGGTTCTTTGGGGGAACAACAATGGTTCTTTTGGAACTTTTGTGGATTGGAAAGGTTCCATAGAGATTTTAAACCTTCTTCATGGAACGTGGAGCATGGAACATGATCGTTCGAATCTCTCAAGACCCATCTTTACTCCTCCGAACCGCTGGCATAATTTTTCTCACCTGTCTGCCAAGAGCCGCCCCCTGAATGTCCTCCTGCTGCTGCTGGGCAATCGTGACGCCCAGGACGAGCGTGTGCACGCCGCAGGACACGGCTGTGATCAGCACAATAGGGGTCAGCCGCAGCGGCAATGTCAGAAAGAAGGAAAAGCTAAAAAACGCCTGCCAGCCCACCGTGTCGCTGGGCTGATGGAAGCGGGCGAAGTTCAGTCCTAGGTAACAGAAGTTCTGGGCCGCTATGAGCACCCACAAGACGTAGGGCACCAGGCGGCGCGTCACACGGTCCGGGAGCAGACCGAACCGGCACAGCAGGTACAGCAGGACGTCCGCCGCCAGCCCCACCGACGCCACGGCCACAGACGCCAGCTTATCGCTCGTGTAAAGCACAGTGCACATCACAATGACGTAGCAGTCGAAGAGGGCTGCGAACACAACCAGCACCAGCAGGGTCTCGTGCCTCTGCCGGCGGAAGTAGGTCTGGTAGAGGTTCTCCAGAGAGTCCGGCGCGAAGGTCAGACGCATGAACCGCGGCAGACACAGGCAGCAGCCGGAGCTGCGCACAGTCACCTCGTGGGTGCGTCCCACCGCCTGCCCGGGGTCCGAGGGCAGGGTGACCGAACAGTCCGCCGAATACTCCGCAGAATACTCGGGCTCCGAAAAGGCCCGGTTCCGGTGCATTCTGGGGTGCTGGATTGTAAAAGATGCTATAAAAACTAAGGGTGTATTCACACCTGTTTTGTTTGATTCGACTGAATCAAACTCGAGTCTTACTATAGGGAGATGAGAGGGTCTATTACTTACTATTGGAGAAAGCGTAACCGCTAACTTGTATCACGTAGGCCTTAATAACCAATCACATTACAGCCTTGATGTCAATGAGTTGTTTGACACTCAATCGCCGTTTACGGATCCCATAGGAATGAATGAGAAGTGCTGTAAGCTAAATCCCACCTGTCGCAAAAAATCAGTGACTTCTCTTATAAAACTGCATTTTTTTCGGGGTGAACTCTAAAAATAGTTCAATCCAAAAGTACTGTTTAGTGTAAAACATGTTGAGGATTAGCCGATAGGCTGTGGATTCATTAAATGATAAGCCGTTTCCTCTCAAAAGCTGTTTATTCAGTGTAGTGAAGCCTCTTCTCCATTGACATGCATTTAAAAAAAACGGCCTCTGGTTTCCTTCCCCACATACTGCCTTAGCATTAGCCGATATGCTTTTTTGGCTAAAGGTTGCAGGCTTGCCTTCTAGTGGCTTTGCTCAAGTTCGTTTCCCTCCTTGGTGCAGATATTTTGGTCAGGTGTGAATAAGGCAATCGCACTCAGGTGAGGACCAAACAACCGTACCGAGACCCAGCTGAAGAGGTGGTCTGCTTCCAAACGAACTCTGGTACGGTTGAATGGATGAACCGATGAATGGATGACCTTAGCACACGTGTGGTTTTGGTTACAATTTCTGGTTCACTTGCAAAAAGGGCAGTGTGAAAGCGAACCGCACCAAACAAAAAACAACAACGTTGTATTTGGTCCGGACCAAAGCAAGTGAACTAGCAGACTTTCCTGGTGTGAATACACCCTAGCACTCCGTGTGGGTTTTAATGCATCGGATGCTGGAAAAACATTGCCTGGAAACGTGTTGGTCAATGTCCAAACTTGAGATCAGATCCGAAGCGGCCAACTGATTGTCATGCCTGGCATGTTTAGACACCGAATCAGATCTTGCATGCATGTATGTTTGTGGCATCGCCCCCACCAGTGCCTAGAGCACTTGGGATGTGCTTCCCGAACAACTGCCCCCAGCTACACGCCTTTGTTTTTCTGAGATCTGCAAAGACAAGTCTCAGCAAGTTGGCATGAAGGTGACAAAAAGAGCTGTTTACACATCCGCCAGCCTCTCTGTTTCCAATCCAGGATCCAGTCTCGGTGTCCACCAGCGCTCACGGTGGGTTTCCATGGTGAATCCTCGCATGGATGAAGAACATCAGGACTCATGAATATTCATTCGAATGTGCTGACGTATCTTTGGAAGCGTCCAATCACGCGATGTGTTTAATATTCATGAGCTTGACCTTCTCTATAGTAGGATCGGTAAACTCGCGTCGATGGCACCCCCTCATTTTCACACCCCCTTCCGTGGGCACGGATTTTGGAGCACAGGCCAGCCTGTGTCAACCGCTAAAAATATGCAGCCCATCTTATTACAAAACCTATAGGGAGTTTTTATGGCTATATAATGCAACACTATGTGAATAATATTGGGCTTTTTCAATGTATTCTCAACAAAACTGTCAGCACTCTCAGTGTAAACAAAGCCTTTTACCATTACGAATTTACTTGCAAAAGAATTCAAATAGAAAGCATAAATGCACGTTTTAGGTTCTAGAACAAGGAGTGAGAAGTTACAAAATCACACCCGTGATAAGCAAAATAAAACCCGAACGGCAGCTTAAATCGAGAAAACAGACGCGATCGTGATCGGAGAGCGCATCTCGGCCTGATACAGTCTGTTCAAATGCATCCTGTGCATTAACGGTGCGTACAGGATTCACGCAGGAAATACATGTTGCGCTCCGGTGCTGTGTGAAATATGAAAATGCGTCTCACAATACAGCGCTACTGCCTTCTGTTATGCTTATAAATGGTACATATCCTCACATTTTCGCTACTGGAATTACCACAAAAAGTGCAAATTAAGATCTTCGCAGAGGTTCAGTGATGAAAACGTGGATGTCTCTTCAGACAGTCCGTCTCTCATGGAAATGCAGCTGCGTTTATCCGTAACGTATCCATAGCACGCTCCGATCTGTGGCTCCTTCGAGGATGTAAAGTGTGCCAAAGATCAATCTCAAAATCACCCGTGAAACACATGAAAATCCACCGTATGCTCGATCCGAAGGCTTTTTTCACCAAAAGTCATTAATAATCACGCGACTTCCCGTTTCATGGATGAAAGAAGGTGATACTGGCACAGCTTCAGTTCCGCTGTCCTGATAAACCAGACCTGACAAACCTGACTTTTCAGGGAGTCTGTGTGTATATGGCCTACGGAGAGATCACTTTCTAAATGCAAACGAACGTGATGTCCGATTCGCGGAGGAATTGTTGTTTTGAGTCGGTTCTTACTAACGATTCGTACGAACCGATTCTTAAAGCTTTCGTGAATCGTTTGGTTTGAATGGAGAAAGTTATGTCTGAGTGAAGCTGACATATAGGTTACATAGCCTACAGTATGTAGCGTAAGTAACTCCAAACGCTATTTATAATTCGTAATCGAAAACATTTCATCAATAGCAGTATTTAGGAAAATGCCATATTCCCTTCATCAATTAGACAGTAACGGAGACGTTGCTGTCATGTTAAAAGCTCAGTCTCTGTAATGCAATCACAAGTTATAAAGGCAAACTATTTATGTTTCTACAAAAACAAACCCAAAAAACAGGACGTTAAATGCCGCGCGCGACTTTTTAGAACGCTTTTCAGCGTTGACTCGTTTGAATCGACTCTCTGAATCGACCATTTCGAGCGAACCGATTCGCTTCAATGAATCAGACTTCTCAACGCTACAAACGAAAATTACCAATCGTACTATGGCGACGGCTCGCTACATGAATATTCATTCGAATGTGCTGACGTATCTTTGGAAGCGTCCAATCACGCGACCTGTTTAATATTCATGAGCTTGACCTTCTCTATAGTAGGATCGGTAAACTCGCGTCGATGGCACCCCCTCATTTTCACACCCCCTTCCGTGGGCACGGATTTTGGAGCACAGGCCAGCCTGTGTCAACCGCTAAAAATATGCAGCCCATCTTATTACAAAACCTATAGGGAGTTTTTAT